GTGTAACAGGCGCTGGCACTCCAAATACAGCCTTATCTAACCGGTAATCTAGTTAGTCACACACGGAGATCCTGCAGTTCCACCTTGGCTCGCCTTTTCGTCCCGAGATTCTGGGGGAATGTGCCTGTCCGAGCGCTAATGGGTTAAGGTGAGTTACGGCCCAACTATCTCGTTTTAAATGGCTTTAGAAGGGTCGTTATTTAACGGTCTTTCGTGTTGTTTTTCGATACGAGACCTTGGGGTTGTAAGATAATGGAATGATATTCCCCGAAGAAAAAAAATATATAATTGTCTTCCTTTTTCCTTGTATTATGATTTTTTAATAACGTGACGCAGAAAATGAAGATAATCCTCTTTTCGTTTTCGTTTGACGTCAGAGCGGAGCCCTCCTCCTCCTCCTCCTCCCTTACCTTCAGCCCCCTTCCTCGTCTTCTTCGGGAGGAGGGGAAGGGGAGAGCAGACACACCTGGCCGCAGGGAGTCGGTTGGGGTCGCAGGTGAAGGGAGGGGGGGGGCGGGACAGAGGATGGGGGAGCCCTTACAAGTCTACTTCTAATACAAGTGACAAGCCTTTGACAACGGACCCAGGACAGGTGATTGACTGATCGGAGAAGGATGGAGAAGGGTGATTGGCGCACGAATATTTCATGAGAGAATTTGTCTTAATTCGTTATGTTTGGAGAGTAAACATCCGCTGGCTCTAGGCATGTCAGATCAATAGATAACAATAACGACACATAAACGCACACACAGATCACACGCTCACGAACGCTGAATAAACGTTCTATCTTTGTTACTATCTTTCTACAGTGTGTGCGTGTGTTTGTTTGTGTGTGTGTGAGTGAGAGAGAGAGAGAGAGAGACTAACCAATCTATTGTTGGTGTGGAGTTATGTATGCATGTTCACACACACCCTCACACCTACAACCACACTTCCACCAACGCATATGTAAATATATGTATGCATGAATGAATAAATATAGATAAGCATGTGTATGCACATGTGCGTGTACGTTTATGCCTGTACATATACCTGTGCATAATGTATATACGTACAGAAAACGCACATGAGTTGTTATGTACGTTCTTTAGTTACCCAACCGGCTCCCTTCCCCCTCACCAGCCGGTTGTGTACGTACGCCAAAGTTATTGAATATCAAAGGCCATAAAAGATGCATTGCGCAGGCGTCCGTGCCCCGCGTTTACACATACATCACAAATGTTCTGAACATCTAATATCACTGAATATTATAACAAGGGGTGTTTTTTTTCCGCCAAGGGAAGGTGGTATATGAAGCGTTATCAGTGACTTCCTGGATATACTAGCGCTGATAAGAGAACAGAAATATGATTAAGAAAAAGCAGCAACATTAATTTTTGTGTTTAATCCTAAAAGAATAGAGAAAAAACACAGAAGCAGGAAACTGATTCCCGGGTTTATTAAAGCGATAACAGCTTATCATTTATATCGGCAGTCACTCTTTTTCTTTGCTTCTTTACTTCTTCTTTTTTCGTTTATTCGGTTTATCGCCGGTTTTTGTGCCTCGCCTGGATTAGTAATCTTTACGGGAACTTCGTAACTTGCAATCTGAATATGCATTTTTATCTCATTTTGTTTTTAACATCAGGTAAACGTATATAATTCATATGGTTAGAGTGTATTATCATGCACACATACACATGCATGCATACCTGTATACATACATACATACATATGTACATATATATATATATATATATATATATATATATATATATATATATATATATATATGTATATATATATATATATATATATATATATATATATATATATATATATATGACTGTGTGTGTGTGTGTCCGCCTCATAGGTGCACACACACACACCCACAGATGTGTGTCTGAATGTGTGCGTGTTTATCTAAATATCAGTGCATGCCCGGGTAAGGCACACTGACAGTTACCGAGCACGAAAGTTGCAGCAAAAGCAGTATGCATGTATACGCACACAGGCGCGTGAATGTATTCATGACACGTGCACACGAAGGCCGCGTCCTGTAAGATGGCCGACTCGAAGCCGCGAGGGCGGCCCGAGGGCGTGGCAAGGGCGGGCGCTTGGCACTCAGGACTGGCAGGTGCAGGAGGCCACGGGCGGCGCGCCGGTGCACGTGCACTCAGGGCCTGGAACACGCACACACTTCCGAGTTGGCATGGAAACCGCTGGAGTGTCGGGTGTCACGGCGCTCCCGCTGCAGCGCCTCTCGCTTGAGGGTTTTCTGCGGCGCTGAAGGAGGGAATGGGGGAGGGGGGGGGGGGGGAGCGGGTGAAGACATGTTCTAGAAATTGCAACTACATAAAGATGTCGGTACTTACTGACTAACACTAAATATGAACCAGAATATGTGTAGATATGTGTATGTAATGCATATTAATAATACATCCATGATCAATACATACCATATAAGTAATGAGGTATGATTGTAGAGATGATAGAGTGAGTAAGAGTATAGTAAGATGATTAGTATTGGAAAGAAAGAGAGGAGTAGTATTAGTGAGGAATGAATAGATATAAGAAGAACAATTTGATGAATATTAGGATAGTATGAGATATATAATTATAGTAATTATTGTGATTGCGTAGCTATCATCATAAGACCGTTTTCATATTGAGTATTAACTAATCATCTAAAAGTCATAAATATGAACAGTTAACAAGTAAATTCAATATAATACTAATCTGTGTAATATGGTGCGATGCTCCCGTGTGGTCTAGTATATGTGCTTGATTGAGGTGTTGTAGTTGTACTTGGTGTGATGTGGTGGTGTTTGTGTCTCGCTAGTTAGTAGTCGCTGTAGATGTTGTTGGATGTTCATTTCATTTATTTCTATCATTTTTTCTACGAGTGAATAGGTAGTCATGTGACACACCACCCGAGCACTAAGCGCGGAGCACACACATCACGAAATGGGGATGTCAGTGTAGATGTATATATTATTACATTTGGGAAGATACTTACATAAACTTGAATATCCAATATTATATGACTACCAATATATTATAATAGGAAATCTTAACATATAAGTTTATTGAATAATATTATTACAGTTTATGTGTTCACTTTGAGATGGCATTAAATATTCCACATAATGTCTATATACTGTATCACATACTATTTACATATATTTCATTATAGTTGTATAAGTGATCAAATGATATGAGAGTAAGCTTATCTCGTAGATAATAATTATAATAATTTTATATCACACAGAAATATATCGCATAAATTGTATATATATTGATCATTAATCAACATTAATGTAATGTACATCATGGTGTGAGTGCGATTAGTTATTATAACTATGTTGAAATTATGCGTATAAATGACTTCGTAGTTAGTAACTAATAACTAATAATAGTTAATATTCGTATGATTGCTGATAAAGTTCTCATATTCATATTATGAATAATGTCTATCACATCATACATTAGATCATTACGGGTAACATGAATTTTCAATCGAATTACAATAGGTAATTTACAAATTATATATAATAACATAATGGCTATAATGATAATACATACTTACTTATAAATAATAATATTGTATGTGTGGATTGTATAATGTATAGCTTATATTATAATAATAATAATGTCATATATATATTATATAGTAATATCAATAAACTATATATATATTAGTAATAGGTGACTATATATATATATTTGTTTATTAATTACACTTAAAATGTTAATGTTTATTAATTTATCTACATGCGAGATACATGCGCTCACAGTATAGTACACAGTAATTCAACTGATTATAACTACATGACATAACCACACTACAACTCATGATAACTAATTAATCAACAATAAATAGCACACACACTACACCAACACACACACATGCATAGCGAGCATTTATATATATTATAATTAATATATATATATTTATATATATATATATTTATAAGGTATAATAATATGAATATTATAATAATTATATATTAATGTTTATATAATTATTGAATATATTAATATTTAAAATTCAAGTATACATGGTACATAGAATCATTCAAATAATAATAACATAACTATATAGCATCAAACTACTATAAACACACTACAACATTATATCACAATATATATTAATACACTATGATCAAGTACGATATTAGTCACGGTTTTCATAAATGGATTGTGTGTGTATTATAGCTGATGGGTGCTGTAGCATGTTTGCTTACAAACCTATATATGCATGCTTGAATACGTGATGTGACATAACAATCGACTATGCAACATGAAATTCACAAACCCACAACAGTCAACATCGTGATGCATACTTCAACAACATCAGGATACAGTTGCACAACACAAACACACAACTTCCAGCAATTCATACCTACGACACTAATCGTTGATACGCTGATACGCTAAACAGATTAAACATAACAACCACGCAAATCAAAATACAAACAAAAAGCTCCCGATCTGATTGTAAGTCAATTTATATGGAATCATACAAACACATCATTCCAAAACTTAACGGACATTACAAGCATACAACACAATACTAAATTAATTACCAATCACAAGATAATCATGATAATAGAAATTCATAAAAATATATACATAATACATATATCTCAGAAAATAAATAAAACTTATACACGGATCTTATGATAATAGATAGTAAAGAAATGAAAATAATAAAGGTAAAATGTTATAGGCATAATTACGTAGGTATAGACGGGCTCCTTCTAGACATTTTAATATCTCTCTCAATCAAAGGCATTTCTAAAAAATAAATTAAAAAAAAATGAATAAAACCAAACAAATGAAAATAAAAATAGTAAAATATGAGATTAACATGGACATAACCTGTACTGCACCTGTATTCAATACCATATAGATATTAGATGAGTAAATAAGTGAGAATAATACGTAGTGAGGATGATACACTCAAGTAACAATAATAAAAATGTCAAACAAGATTCGAATATTGTAATAACTCGTCG